GCCCGGGGCGGGGCCGGCGCCGGGAGCCGCTGGAGGGGCTCAGCCGGCGTTTCCTGCGCGCCTCCAGCTGCGCACCTTAGAGGGACCACATCCGGTTCTTTGGGGATGCAGTCGACGACCGCAGTAATAAGTGGATAGTTGCTGCTTTTGAAGTGCTCTGAAGAAAGCTGAACCGGGTGTGAGCTAGGAGAGGGGGAGGGGCTGCTTTGGGTTGGGGGCCAGGTAAGTTCCCCCGGAGCCCAGGAGCCTCGCCCACTGCACCACCTGCGCGCCCGCATCCGGTTGCCCCGTAACTCCGCCCTGCTAGGGGCCAGTCCAGAGCAAGGCGAGGCCTTGACGCTGCGAGGAGCGGGTAGCGCGGGACCTCAGCCATCGCTGCCCTGTCTCTGCAGGAGCTGCACGCGGCCGAAGTGCGCAGGAACAAGGAGCAGCGAGAGGAGATGTCCGGCTAAGGGGCTTCGGTCGGACGCAGCGGCGCCCAGATCTTGAGCCGAGACAAGAACACATTCGGGTTTTGTTTTTGTTTTGTTCAGCTGTTTAGATGCGACTTCTGTTCCCGTTCGTCCCTCTCCTCCCGCAGTCCCAGCTTCATGCTTCCTTCCGCACTCTGAGCTGTCCAGTCCTCGTGGCAGTCGCTGACCACAGGCTCTCCCTGTAGGAGCCACCAGGGCGTGGCACACGGTCCCTCAGTTCAGGCACCAGGCCGGTGGTATCTGGGTTCCCCTCTTGGCGGCCCTCTTAGTGGATGTGATGGTGACCTCACTAAATCCAGTGGTGGTGGCAGACACACGCAGGTCCCTATGCTGTGTTGTCCTGTGAACACCTTATCGCGTAGGGCTCATCCTCCGAATCAGTTTCCGCCAACAAGCAAAGGCAGCACCACCTGCATGTCCTCCTGTGGGGGCGGGGCATTCGGCACACAGAAGCGGGCAGAGGAAGAAAGTTGGATAGAGAGGGACCTCTGGGCAGTGTGGGGCCGGGTCACCCTGTCCGGTGTGCAGTGGCACTTTGTGGAACAGGCGGGTGGAGGCTGCAGTACCCTTTGGTGTGGTCTGAGACCACCTGACTGCAGCGGGCCCCCTGGGCTGGCCTAGGAACCTGCAGCCATTGCCTGTGGCCAGTGTGGGATGTGCTTGGCCCGAGTCTTCAGGGGAGTGAGCATTCTCCTCCCGGGACCCAAGAACTGACTGCCGAGCTTCGAGGGCTGTGGGTAGCGTGACACCCCCTGCTGGCCCTTCCTTCCTGGAGCCTCCGGCTGAGCACCTGTGTGGAGAAAGCCCAGCTCCTGCCATCCTTCCTCTCCTCCCCTGAGCTTTGCAGACCTGTCCTTAGAGTTCTTCGGAGTCTTGGCCCCTTCCAGTGTTCTCTCACGATGTTCCTGGCCACTGGGTTTTGAGGCTCACCTCTGGCCCAATGTGGCCAGGTCTGAGTGAGTGGCAGGTTCCCCTCAGGGAGCCCCTAACAGACAGCAGGGGACAGAGTTCCCAAGCCACCTCCCCACCTGGTCTATCCTTGGCATTTTTTGCCCGTGGCCCCCTCTGGCCAGCCTGCAGATTGGAGGCCTGGCTCCAGGCCTCTCCCGCCAAGCCCCTGCTGGACTGGGCTCCCTCCCTTCCCTCAGCCCGGGGGTCTCCAGATCCCTCACTGCGGCCTTTGAGGACTGCCACCTGCCTGGACGTGGGGGTTGTCTGTTTTTTGTGCCACTGCTGTATCCTCCCTTTCTCCATGGCAGTCCTAACCCACGACTGGGTACTGGGGGGAGGGGCTCTGCTGCCCATCCTCTTGGTGGGAAGCAGGCAGGGACAAACCACGAGTTTCTGCAGGACCCAGAGCCAGCACCTCAGAAACCAGGTGGCTGCAGCCCTCACAGCCCCGGCATGCATTCTGCAGAAACCTGTGGGGGACAAGCCAGGGGGCACGGTGGACACTGATTTGCCTGCAGTGGGCTTAGGGGGACGTAGGGCCCCATGCCCCCGCTCCCTGTCCCCACGGAGACAGCCTCCGGAGGGGGTGACAAGTCGGGAGTGGAACCCACAAGGAGCTTCCGTAGGACTCAGCAAGGGCCACGGAAAGCGCCTGAGGGCTGGATTTCTCTTAGCTGCGGCAGCTCTCATAGCGAAAGCCTATGTAATATGCACCCATCTCATCACGTAGTGAAAGTGAACTTAACTGAACGATTAAAGAAAAAAACTGTGTGTTTAAGAAATGGTTGCACTGTCCCAGCGTGTGCCCTGCTCCTGTGGTTGGGGGTGGGCTGGGGGGCCACCGCCGGCCAGAGAGTGCCGGCTACCGGCTGGTTATACCAGCACAACTAGGATTAGTTCTAGTGACAATGGCGATTTGGAGAGATGAGCGCATAAATGACGTGCAAGCTCACTTTCTTCTTTGGAGCTCCAGGAGATGGCAGGGCCCTGTGCGGGCTGGCCGTCCACTCTCCCCCAGGGCCCAGGTTGCTGCTGTGGGAGGAAGGACCAGGGCCTGAGGGCTGAGTTCACCCTCCTCACTGCAGCCTCGGGGCGGTGGGGCTTGCTGGGATGTGGGTGTCCTAGATCCCAGGGACACGCCCCATGGCTCAGTGCCCCACCCCCCACAGCAGGCTGTCCAGAAGGTGTGATGTGACGTGGACAGGTGCCTGTCCCCAAACAGGATTCTGGCATGTCTTCTTGTCAGGGCGTCTCAGATGCCGCTGCGTGGGCCTGAGGGCAGAAACAAGTCACGCAAATCACGACTGTTTCTCTGCTGAAGGAAAACAATTTTGCTGTTGAGCAGTTATGCTCACTCTCTAGGGCTGCTATGGCAGGCACCTCAAACTGGGGGCTTAAAACAACAGAAACTTATTCTCCGCAGCTCTGGAGGCCGGAGTCCAAGGTCAAGGTGTCACAGGGCATGCCCCTCTGAACCTACAGAGGAGAGGCACCCTGGCCTCTCCCAGCTTCACTTCACTGTTGGGAAAGGCCGTCTTATGAATGGGCTTTGGGCCCAGAACCTTCTTTCCGAGAGATAAGGAATAGCTTTTCCTGTTGCAAGCTCAGTGACAGCTTGAACCCTTGCCCGCCCCCCCTCCCCCCAGTTTTCAGTGCTTCAGATTCCTGGGGGAAGGAGGGTCCTTCCGCAGGCCCCCGTGGCATGGGGACAGAGCCCACTGCCTCCGAAGCAGACTTCGTTTGTTTGCGTGAGTGCAGCATGTCCCACCAGAGGTTTGGCCGCCTTGCACTTCCCTTGGTGACTCCTATGCCAGGTCGGGGGATGGAAGGGGTGGACTTCGCCCCCTGCTGGTTGGCACTGTGATAATAAGCTTCACTCTCCACGCAGCCGGACCCTCCCTGGCAGTGGGAACCGGACCGTGTTCAACTGGACACTGGTGTCCCTTGGCTTGTAGACACATCATGCCGCTGCCTCTGTGGCCACATGGCTGTCTCCTCCGTGTGTCAGTCTCTGTGGGACACCGGTCACTACATCAGGGGCCACCCTCACCATGACTTCATGGTAACTACAGTAATCACATCTGCGAGGACCCTATTTCCAAATAAGGCCGCACTCTGAGGTCCTGGGGGGCTGGATGGAATGTGCCTTTGGGGAACACGATCCAACCGAGACAGCAGTTGTAGGTATATAATCAATAATCCCGAAGCACACGCGTTCATTCGTGTACTCGCCATGGGTTTGGTGAGTGCGTGGGGCCTTCTGGGGAGATGGGGTTGGAGGCCTGAATGCTATTCAACTAAAAGTTATGTGTGAACAGTAGTGTATGGTTTTCCAAGGCCCTTTAAAATGTTTTCAATTTTCCATGTCTACTGAGGAAAACAGGGTTGGCATTAATTCATGACGTTCACTTTTTTTCTGGTTACAAATGTAATGCGTGCTCACTGCATTACTGCAAAGGACAGAAGTCTTGACCCACCAAATCTCCTCCCCCAGAGGGCCCATCCCAGCAATGGGCGGAGAACAGTGATGGCCTCCCTTTCCCGGGTCTTCAAAAGTGTCACTCAGTGGCTGCATAGTCATCTATGTTATGGGTGTACCAGGACTTTTGAAAAACAATCTCCAACTTTTTGGTTTCAGGGACCCCTTACAATATTAGAACATTTATGGAAGACCCCCAAAGAGCTTTGTTTATGTGGGTTATGTGGATCAACAGTTACCCAGGAATTAAAACTCAGAAGTTTAAAAAACAGTAATTCATTTAAAAATGATATACTCATTACAAAACAATGAAATTAAAAAGATTAGAATAAAGTATATGAAGACATCTGCCTTCACGGAGATGAGGCTGGGAAAGGAAAGCATGCTTTAACAGCTCCTTGACTCCAAACCGAAGCTTGACGAGGGGCGGCTTCTTAAAATTTGGCTGCAATGTGAACCTGAAGCCACACCAATAAGGTCTCCATGCTCTGACATTAGCCGCCCAGTCTGTCAAGTGATGAATGCATCTTTAGCCTGCGCTGCAGAGGAGAGGGCCAGGTTGCTGGGTGAGCCGGGCCGGCCTTTGTCCTGCTTCCTGTCTGGTCCAAAGCTGGAGGTGCAGGTGTCCCCAGGAGAGGGTGTGAAGTCAGTGATTTGCACAACACTGTGTTCCTCTCCTGTATAATGAACCAAGAGTAAAAGTTCCCTCCTCTTGGGACCCAGGGTGGGCTGGGCACTTCCCATGGATCCTCCTGGGTAGGACTCCGTGCCCAGTAGGAACTACTCCATCCCGTCACCCGGGTGGAGCCCAGCGCTGTAGCCTCGCTCTTTTGGAGACAGAAGAGGTGAGAGCTCAGGTTCAAATGCCAGGCCCGGGGTCCTGCAGCAGCAGAAACTCGGACGGGGGCCGGGCCCACAGACCCTGACCAGAGAGCAGCAGGCACAGTTCACTGGCAGCGCTCTCCAGTGCCATGCTAACCTGGTTCCCGAAGCCAGTGCCTCTGGGGCTCCTCCGCTACTTCATGGGCATTTAAGTCCAGATAAACGACAGACACAGACACAGACTGCACACACCTGCTTTCGCATTTACTGGGTGATAAAAAAGCAGGCAGCACTGACAGGCCCGACAGCTTATCTTTCAAAAGTCTTTTTCCATCCCTGGCTTGAGTACACTCTACATTACCAAAGAGAGAATGGAATGTGCCTCTCCTAATTGTAACCACTAAAATGAAGTTTGCTTGAAATATCCCAGAATGGCCTTAAATTGTCTTCCTACTTGTGAACACGGGTTCGCTGCTTGGCTGGATACAAGCATCTGTTCCCTGCCTGCTCCGTGCCTGAGTGGGAGCACTCAGGGATCAGGTCGCTTGTCCTCCGTGCTCAAGTTTTCTGGCAGCTGCCAGCAGTGAGGGTGATGCTGCTGAACAGATCAGGAGAGCACAGGTGTGCCACCCCATCCTGAGAACCACCGGCATCAACCACCCTCTGGGCACTGCGGACACCACGCTGCCCAGAGCTCCCTCCAGAAATCCTCCAGCCAAGAGCAGGTCGTTTCACAACTGCCGGGCTCTGGGCAGGGCAGAGGAATCCCATTAACCACCCACTGGGGCCCCCACTGCACCTCCCAGTCAAACAGCAAGGCCTAGTTGTACCTGGCTCCCAAGTCAAAGGAGCTCTATAAAAGCTGAGTGACGCCTATCTTCTTACATTCTGGAAAACCCAAGGGCTTTATATTCCAGTCCTTTACCCAAAATTAGAGAGGGAAGGGATGGGGACAGAGAGAGAGAAGGAACAAGCTTCTCAGCGCCTCCCTAACTGTACATCTGGGTGTCTTTTATGGTTTAGTGATAACTGAACAGTGGCTACAGCACTGACGGCGCGGCTGGGGTCAACACAAGAACACCGTATGGCACCGCGCAGATTCAGAAATAAGAACGTCGAAGCCCTTTTTAGGGCTTACTGTGAGAGAGTAAACGTGATCGTTGCAGGATTCGGACGCGACGAGCGGAAGGCCCCAGGGGCAATCTGCTTCTTCGGAGCAGGCTCTCCCGGCGTCTCTGGGTCGCCACCTTTGACAAGCTTGAGATGACAAGAGGACCTGCATCTGGTTTTTGTCCCTTACTGTTCACGCACATTTCCCCCATCCTTAAACAAGTCTCCCCACGCATCCTCTTCCCGCTCGT